CTCGTGTCTGTTAGCCCTTCAGCTTTACATGATCCCCCTCCCCTCCCCCCCTCCCGGTGGGTTGCAAACCGCTGGTACAGTGATAAGGATGGGGGATGCGGCCTGGTTGTCATGGCCACGCTCCCTGTAGGGATGTTTATGTGTGCACCAGGAAGGGGATTTGTCTTGGCAGCATCTATATTGAACAGCTAGTGTATCTGCTGTAGGACAAAATGCCTTGCAGCAACTTTAAACTGTAAATACAAACAGGCTATTTTTAACTATATAATTAATTTAAAAATTATTTGTGAAATATGATTATTCCTTAAAAAAAACCAGCTGCAATGTTTGTTTTCCTGCTTATCGTCTAATATGCACATCTGTTTCTGCAGCAAAAATCACAAACAGATCTGATTAAACCAAAACCACTGTTATTACTTTAATTCTACACTACAATAAATATATATATTTTTTATGCTAACACAGTGTATACACTCTAAACCTCTTGAAGTTTGCCTAAAACATGTTTAAAAAGGTCAAGAGCTTCAGAAAGTGCTTTTAACTAATTTAAAACTGACCTGACCCAGTTTAAAGTATTAAATTTGGGTCCTGATCAAGTTTCTGAGGCCGCTTCATGTTTGTATCATTTGAAATAAATGTAAGTTAGTTAGCAAATGGTTAATTTGCATATAGATATGTGCATTGCTACAGCTATTTGTCACCCTAGCAGTGATTTTATTTGTATTTACAGTACTTATTCTGTGCATGTTTCTGTAGCATCAATGTTTCTTTCATTTTTACGATGGAACAAAATGCTGCGTCATTATGTAGCATTTTTGTCTGGTTTTGTTTAAAGAGTACTCACATCTTTGTTGTTAGCTGCTTTTAGTGAAATGCTAATTAGCTTAGAATCACTAACGTGCACTGGTAACACTATTTATACGTATTTATAAGTAAGATCAAATACACTGCTCAAAAGAAATACACACTACTCAAAATGAACAAAATTAAAGGAGATTTTTTAATTAAAGGGAGCTACCAACATGTTAGCAGCATGCTTTATTATTATTATTATTTGTTGTTTCATGATTTTTGTTTAGATTTGTGTTCTTTGTGCTCCCCAGCTTTGATTCTGCAGTATTGTTTTGTCTGAACCTTATATTCATCAATTTAATTGCTTTTACAGAAGAAACTAGCATAAAGCTAATTAGCATAATCAACACAGACACTAATGTTGTTTTTAAACCAACCATGAATGTTGTTTAAATGTACGGTGGTGAAACAAACCACTGGTATTTTTCTGACATAAATAAAATAAATGAAATAAATTTTAAAAAGTCAATTAAAAACCATCTAATTGATAGAGCAGTGGCATGATTTATTAGCTAGCCCTAACACTACATTTCGTCACAAAACTGCTATAATTTGTTACTTTGTGCTGTTTTCTTTTTTATTTTAGATTTAAATTATTTACATGTCCCAGTTTTGTTTCTGGAACTTTATTTTGTAGTTTTTACCATTTAATTAAATCATGATCTGGTACAAAATGTGAATTTAAATTACATTTTTAAAGCGTCGCTCATTTTTTAGTTGGGTTTAGATTCAGTTTTGTGTTTGGAGTGGAAAACGTTATTTTTCTGCTGAGGAAGAGGACACTCTGTCCTTCACACTCTGATTTAAAATCCCAGAATAAAAATGTTTTCGGCTCGTTTAAGACGAGAGCTCCGTCCTGATTGGACCGGCTGAAACTTCTCTGATGAAGATGTTCTGGATCGACTCTGATGAGCTGATTTGCTGCGGCCCTCCTCCGTCTTCATTATTCAGCTCATATTTCTTCTTTTCAAACACAAATCTTAATTCCTCCTCTTCCTCCTCTTATCTCCTCCTCCTCAGCTGCTCTCGCACAAACAGAGCTGTTTCTGGGTCACAATGAGTTTGTATGAATAATAAACAGCTGTCTGCTGTAAAAGGGGATTATTTATAGAGCGACACTCACTCGTTTTATAACAGTTGTTTCTTTTTATCTCATCGCTGTTGTCTTTATTACGTCACCTTTTCATTTCCTCACATTCACCTGTTTGGTTCTGAAGCGAGGATAAAAAATGGCTGCAGGCGTAAAATAGTACAAATTTCTCTTTTACTTTCCAGCATATAGAAACTGAGTTGACATCATTTGTAACCTTTAGGAGGCGGGGCTTATGATTATGGTGTGGTATGAGGGCCAAAATTAAGACTATTGTGCAACCAGCGGTTGCTACATCCTTGTAGCAGGAGGCTATATCTATTCCTAATGAGATATTCATCTGACACTGCTAACATAGCAGCTGGCCCCGACAACTGAAAGKSSKGGGCTGGCAAATGAGAAGGAGACTTTTCATTTGTGTTAGCATCAGAGAGGCTAGCAACTAGCGTGGATAAGCTGGCATTAGCATTGGAGAGGCTAGTGACTAGCATGGATAAGCTGGCATTAGCATTGGAGAGGCTAGTGACTCGCATGGATAAGCTGGCATTAGCATCGGAGAGGCTAGCGACTTGGCTCTCATACTGTGTCATATATGATAGGACCTGGAGCCCACCATCAGGGGGCGATCAGCTGTTTCTGCTGCCTGTGGTGAGACCAGAACCAGGTGGGGTGGGGGTGGGGGAAACAAAAAGTTTAATTTTATGTGAACAAATTTTACAAAATCAGCTCACACCTCAGAGCGGAGCTGACTTCCGTTCACGTTGTCCAAAAATAAAAAGTCTAACATTTCTTAAAGGAATGCTTATCATCCGCCTATCTGTGGTGTGGTTCTGGAGACAACAGGTCCAGGAGAGAAACCCAGACCTGATGAACTACTGAGGAACAGAAAACTCTGTTCGATGCTCAGCGCCTCGGTTCCGTCCGTTTATCCTGTCAGAGCTGAATAAACACGTCGGAGCGGAGAGTAAACAGTTTGAACACAGGCGGGTCCAGAGTGCCTCGGCAAAAAACAGGAAGGAGAGCCGAGGTCAGCAGGAAGTCAGACAGACTAAAAACCTTCAGGCTGAAACCGCGTGAGGTCATCTGGACCGAGCCCGGACTGTAATCCTCATCATAAACATAACGGGTCATCACAGAGAAGAGGCGATCCGCAAATCCAACTTTATTCAGATTGGACCTTTCAGACAGATTAGAGCTGCGGTGGCCTGATTGTGTTTTATGTTTCTGGACTTTGAGACAGATTTATGGTGAAAAATGAGCTCTAGGCTAAAAATAATTTAAAACATCTTCAGATCAACAGTTTGACAGCAGATTATTAGAAAATAAAATCTGGTAAATGACCCGAGGAGAGGATAAATGATGTTCAGACGACAGGAAGCTTCAGGGAAAGAAAAGAGTTTCTGTCTGTTAGCCAAATATCTCATGAATCCATAGAGATCGATTAAAAAAGAAAACCTTTGGCTGTACGTTTCATTTTATCAAGTACACAGCTCAACCAGATTCAAGATGGCCGGCAAAACTGCTATAACTAAAACCTGGTTACAACTGAGTCATTTTTCAGTTTTAAATTTAGTGTGGGACTAGCTGAGAGCTGTCACTGTAACACATCACATGTCAGGTGGTGGGCAATGATTACGGAGAAGCATGAGGGCCCAAATTAAGACTGTTGTGTGCCCAGCAGTCTTTTTGTAACAGGAAGCTATATCTATTCTAAAACTAGCTACTGATCTGATTAATGATATGCTGGTAATTGAGAAGAAAACTACTCATGAATGTTAGCATTGAAGAGACTAATGACTAGCATGCCTATGGTAGTGTTAGCTTTGAAGAAGCTGATGTCTAGCATGCCTAAGCTTGTATTAGCATTGATGAGACTAATGACTRGCATGTCAGTGCAGTTAGCATTAAAGAGGCTAATGTCTAGTATGCCTAAGATGGGTTTAGCATTGGACGGGCTAATGTCTAGCATAAGCTGGGTTTAGCATCGACAAGGCTATTGTCTAGCATGCCTATGCTGGTGTTAGCACTGGAGAGGCTAAATCTCTAGCATGCCTCAGCTGGCGTTAGCATTGAAAAAAGCATGCGTCTAGCATGCTTAAGCTGGGGTTAGCATTGGAGAGGCTAATGTCTAGCATGTCTAGACTAGCATTAGCATTGGCAAGGCTAATGTCTAGCATAAGCTGGGTTTAGCATCGACAAGGCTATTGTCTAGCATGCCTATGCTGGTGTTAGCACTGGAGAGGCTAAATCTCTAGCATGCCTCAGCTGGCGTTAGCATTGAAAAAAGCATGCGTCTAGCATGCTTAAGCTGGGGTTAGCATTGGAGAGGCTAATGTCTAGCATGCCTAGACTAGCATTAGCATTGACAAGGCTAAAGTCTATCATGCCTATGCTGGTATTAGCACTGGAGAGGCTAATGTCTAGCATGCCTAAGCTGGAGTTAGTATTGACAAGGCTAATGTCTAGCATGCCTAAGCTGGAGTTAGCRTTGACAAGGCTAATGTCTAGCATGTCTAAGCTGGGAAAAATCTTGTCCACGACATCGAGTGCATGCAAGTGCTATTGTCATCCAATATTGATCATTTTATACGTTCTTGGCTAAATCACACAATTAATCGTAATAGTTTCTTTTGCCAATATTGCTCAAGCCTAGCATATAAATAGCCTCCTGCTACAAGGATGTAGCCACCACTAGGTGCACAGTAGTCTTAATTGTGGCCCTCATACCACGCCATAAATAATCCTTATTGTTCCCGCTTCCAGGCTCTAATCTGTGAAAACTCTGAGAGGTCCAAGTGTAATTTCTCTGAAAATGTTGACAATTTTCTTTCAGCTCCTCCTGAGCAGAAAATCACGTCTCGGAGTGAAAAACACATCGTGATGCATTTAGATGGGATTAATAGCTCCATGTGGGATTTCTTCTGACTCGTGTTGATTGAACAGAATAATTATTAGATGGATAAAAACCCATAAACGCACATAAAGTTGATGGTTAATTATCTGTGATTGTTTTAGACCCTGCTGTGTTCCTCATCTTCCTCCTCTGTGTCTCCATCAGGGCCCTGTACACCTACGAGGATGACAGTAACGACCTGACGCTCTCCTCATCCGGAGGTACGCCTCTCTTCCTCCCGCCGACTCACCGCAGCTGCAGCTGTAAAACCTGACGAGCTCCGCGGGTTCTGTCAACCGGGCCGTCGGAGACCCGGGATCGGTGCCGTTAACGACGATCCCCACAGATTAAACAGGAAACAGCCTCGCTTTAATCTGGTTTAAATTCACCAAAAACATCTTTGGGTCCAACAGAACAAAAAGATCTGAGTTCTTTAGAACTTATTTAAGGTTTATTTCAAACAAATTAAAACATCATAAACTAAAATAACACTAGTTAAACAGAAAAAAAACATTTTAAAGTTTTAATATATGAAGTGAAATTCATCTAAAATCATCCTGTTTCTGTTCGTTTGATTCAGTTTAATCAGGTTTGTGTTTTAAAAAGTGAGGATTTATAAATAAAAACTGATGATTGGGTTTATTTTCGACGACTCTGGTTTAACGGGACCCTCTCTGTGCTGCAGGAGGTGGTCTGGCAGAGATCACGCTGACCTTCGACCACAGCAAGGTGATGTACGGGTTCTGCAGCCTGAAGGAGCCCGCCTTCGCCGCCGCCCTGCCGCGCTACATCCTCATCAACTGGGTGAGTCGCCTCAACGCCGACGTCCTCCTCTGAGCCGGACCGGAACATTCGGATCGCTCGGGGTCACGGCGCTTCTTTTAATTTAACAGTTTGTCATGAGGACCTGAAACCGGACCGGTCCGGTCCAGAACTGCAGCTTCATCAGATCTGATCCACAGATTCAGACAGTTCAAACTTTTTATTACATTTGACATTTAAACTTTTCTGAAATTCTGCCCAAAATCTCAACCTTTTTCCCTCGAAACCCAAACAGGAAGTTGGGACTTTTATTTTGTAATAAACTTCAGCTGACAAAATGGCCGATGTTTTGACGCAGGGGTCGAGAAGTAAAGAGAAATCTGATCAAAGAAAACTGCTGCTAGTGGTAACCACACACCTGTCTGTCATTCTGATGTCACTCTTACTGTGACAGGCAGAAATGCAGATTAGAAACTAAGCCTCAGATTTACCAGAATAAAAAGGTCGTGTTTGTCTTTTAGCAGAATATCTTGTGGGTGGATGGAATTTAATGAAACTTGTAGGAAGTATTGCCACGTTTACAAGTGATTAACCTTTAGAGTATGAACTCTTCAAGATGGCCGCCACAGTTAATCTTAGCTTACACAGAAATGGCTRCCCCTCGCTACATTTTAAAGTTATTGAGCTGTAATTTGGTGCGATAGTAGCCGAGAGTCGTCCCCAAAACGCAGCCGAAGCCCTGCCAGCTCCTATGAACGTAAAGTAGATTTTAGGTAAACTGTCTGCAGGTGATGAGCATTCCTCCGAGTCTTTACTCAAACCAGTTTCCAGCCTAATTGAGTAAAACAGTAAAGTTACCTGCCAGGTAACTGAGCAGGTCAGTTTTTCCTCTTTAACTCATAAAGAGTCTGAATAAAGCAGCAGGAATGAGCAGCCGGACTCCTCCTGGGAGCAGAGAYGGTGTTTTACTCTGTGAAGCCAGCGGCAGCAGGAGCTCGCTCACAAACGACATAATGACAGAGTCCAGAGGAGAACGAGCCGCAGCCCGCATTTAATTACTGCCTGCTTTTCATTTTTTTATTTTTTTACTTGTTCCCAGGACCTGAGCTGCAGAGGTGAGCTCAGGAGAAGAAGAAAAAAAGGTCCAGCAGAGATTTGCTCATTAATGCAGCAAACAGAACCTGAAGAGGTTCTGGGACCCGAGCCAGTCGGTGCTGATTGTAACCAAACTGGACTGAAGTGGACCGAAGCAGCTGGTTTTCTGTCTGACACTCGCTGACAGATGAAATTTAGTTAACTTGTTCTGAACGCAGAAAAGATGGTTCCTCTCACTAATTGGTGCTCAGTGGGTTTGGACTGAATGAGCCGTGATTTCTGAAGAACAAAAAAACTCGTTTCAGTAACAGAACAAAGCTGCTAATGAGAGCGAAGCAGGCGGGCACTCAAAGGAAAACTAATTCATGGTTCTGGCCGGGAGAAAATTTAGATCTGTTGTACTATTTTCATTTTTTTTCTCTTCTGCGTTTCCTCTGTGGCAGGTTGGAGAGGACGTCGCAGATGCCAGGAAGTGCGCCTGTGCCAGTCATGTCGCCACCGTTGCCGACTTCTTCCAGGTCAGAACCTCCAACACCAGACAGCATTTCCTGTTTGGCCCCCCCCCCCCTCCTGTTCAACCAGTTCAGACCGGTCTCAGCCTGTCCTCAGTTCAGTGTCTGCGTGTCCTCAGAGGAAGCAGGGGTCTCTGAAGGACGTAGGTGGAGTTTCTTGGCTGTGTGGGCGGAGTTTGGAAAAAATGTGATGGACAGAGTTTGTAATATAGGCAGAGGTTCTTTGTTGTGGGCGGAGTTTGTAATATAGGAGGAGGTCCTAGGGTGTGGGCGGAGTTTGGAATAAAGGAGGAGGTCCTAGGGTGTGGGCGGAGTTTGTAATATAGGAGGAGGTCCTAGGGTGTGGGCGGACTTTGGAATAYAGAAGGAGGTTTTTTATTTTAAGACATTAATATATCTTAAAATAATATTAACATATTATATATTAATATAATATATTAATAGTAAAAACATTAATATATCTTTACTATTAATATATTTTTATATTTATTATATATAAATATTCTATTTATAGCCAAATAAAATTCTGTGGTGGGCCACATTTGGCCCGCTGTCCTTGAGTTTGACACGTGATTCTAAAGATATAATTTCTGGATCTCCCAGATGGATGGATGGATGGATGGATGGATGGATGGATGGATGGATGGATGGAGTTAATGTTTCTGACGTCCATTTTAGTTTTGTTTTAGTTTAAAATCCTACATCAGCTGCAGGTAACACCGTCTGTCTGAGGTTCATTTTGTTTAAAACGTTTCCATCAAACYGTCGGCAGGGAGAGAAGCTTCATCACATTAAAACCTGTAGGAGGATCAAAAAGACGTGACAAACGGCGTCTCTTTGTGAAGTAATCTGTGTGTGTGGCTCACCTGTACACCTGGCTCGCTCACTCGCTGTATTTTGGGATTTTTAGAGCAGATAAAAAAGCCTGAGATGAAAGCAGAGGTGGGTTTTTTTATTTATACATTTTTTATAACAGCTGAAAAGTGCGTGTGTGTGAGTGTGTGTGTGCGAGTGTGTGTGTTGGAGTGTCATTATTCTAAGTGGCAGTTTCTTCTCCCACACAGCGTCAACTTCATCACACCGACAGGGTTTTAAATAACCCTTTTAGAGACGCACATATTGTGTTTCCGTCACGTCGGAGGGCATCACAGGGACTGAGATTAATTTCCTGCAGCTCTAAAACCTCCTTATTTACAAGAACACCAACAGATGATCAGCAGCATGTTACACTGACTGTCCACGTTTAGAAGAAGACTTTATTTTACTCCAATATCTGATTTTTCCATGATGCCTTGAAGAGAGGACAAATCTAAAAAGGAACAAATTTGAAGTATTAAGAAGTCAACAGAGTCTGTGTTCTTGTAGCTGCACGATGTGTCCTTGGCTGAGGCGGGTTCTGATCAATATTTAGCCAGCCCTGAAAACTGAGCCGCTAAATCAACGAGTCTTTCAGCCTGGGCTCGTGTCCAACACGTCCATTCCTTTCATCATGCCCTACTGTGGCTGGATATTAACATGAAAATGCTACCAGCTAGCATAAATAAACTAATAATGCCATCAGTTATCTGTTGCTATAACATTAGCATGAATAGGCTGTCCATTAGCCAATGCTAACAGCTAGCATCTCAGGGCTAACAATAGAGTCTCTAGCTGGGCATTTGCATGAGTAGGATTTTAGAATGCTAACAGCTAGCATCTAAAATGTAATAATAATTTCCTAATCTGGACTTTAGCACGAGTAGGCTTTTAAAATAGTAACATCTATCATATCAGAGCTAGCAATAGGTTCTTTAGCTGGATTTTAGCATGAATGTTCTGTCAATTAGCCAATGCTAACATCTAGCAAGGCTTTAGCATTAATAGGCTGCCTATTAACCAAAGCCTTTATAAGCTTTAGCATGCTAAATTTAGCTTTGTTAGCTACTAACTTGGTTTGTGTTCTGTTGAAATTTCTTCTTCAGTTRATGTGCAGAAACATGTAATTTTTATCTTTTGCTCCTAGACTGTTTAAATGTTAAAATTGTCACAAAATAAGCATTAAAAAATGTTTTTTTCTCTACTGACAAATATCATTCATGCCTGTCTTCTCAGGGGGTGGAGGTCATTATCAACGCCAGCAGTCTGGACGACATCGACCCGTTGGCCATTGGGCAGCGGCTGACCAATGGGACGGCGGCTGTGGCGAGCCCGGTTCTGAGTCGCCTCAAAACCCGAGAAGAAGAGCATGCCGACGTGGTACGAGGAAAAATAAATAAAAACCTGCTCTTAAAAACTGTATTTTTTTTTTTTTTACTTCGGCTGCAATTTTTTTCTAACTTGGCTTCTTTAAAACAGAACAAGCTTAAAGTGATGATAATTCAGGCCTCTCCCTGTGAAGGTTTTGTTTGTTTTGTTTGTTTGTTTGTTTTCTAACCAAACAAACCTGACTTATTCTTGTTTTTGACTCTGACTGCAGGGAACTGTGTACCAGAGAACCAACGCAGAGGTGGAGATGAAGAAAATCAATAGAGAGGAGTTCTGGGAGCAGGCCAAGGTGTGTGTCAAAATAAAACAAACAAAACAAAAACAAGAGGAGCGGCTGCCATGTTGCTAACGCTACGTTAGCTCCACAGACAGACGCAGATGCTGACTCAGGATTTAAAGCCTGGCGTTGTTCTGAAGCAGGTTAACTCGGTTCGTTTTCTGTTTGGTCTCCAGCGCGAAGAGGAGCTGAGGAAGGAGGAGGAGAAGAAGAAGGCCGCAGAGGAGCGGCAGCGTTTCGAGGAGGAGCGAATGGAGCTGGAGAGGAAGGAGCAGGAGAACCGAGAGGTGAGGTACCGCGAGAGGGAGCGGCAAATCGAGGAGCACAGGTGAGCCAAACGTTATTTCCATCTTCACGTCTGTCGTTTCAGGTGATTAAAAAGTTGTGATTTGTTGGTAAACAGGAAGAAGATGCAGGAGGAAGAGGAGGCCAAAGAAAGGTTGCGGAACCAGACGGCCATAGTGAGTTTTAATTTACTCGTTAAATCAGCATGAATCAGTGAATTAATAGTAATTAAACACAAACATTTTGTCAGTGATTTAACTCCATACGTTTGTTATAAAACAGTTTTCATTGTTTCCTCTGAACGAGAAGCTTTAAAACATTAAATAAACCTTGAGTTTGTTTGTTCTTCTGGTTTCCTCACCTGAACACAGACAGTCTCTGCCGCCCCCTGCTGGTGGAGGTGATTTTATCTTGTCTGACTGTGCTTTTCTCCTCAGGCGTCTGAGCCGAGCATCGAGGACCTTCAGCTGGACAAGAAGGAGTCGGAGGTGGAGGTGAGTCTGATGGAGAGGAAGCAGAACCTGAGGTCCGATACGGCGGAGAACAGAAGATAAAATAATGTGATCGGGCCTGAACCTTCCAGGTGTTTAATTTTTAAATATTTACTCTTGTGTTGTCAGGAAGCGAAGGCCATCATCGCCCAGCGCTCAGGAAACCCCCGAGAGTTCTTCAAGCAGAAGGAGCGAGCGATGACCATCAGCGTGGACACCTCGCCGCTCTCCGTCCACCGGACCGGTAAAACCTTCCAAACAGTTTCTGTTCACAGTGACGGGCCGTGATCTGGGACGGTTTAAGACTTCTGCACAGTCCTCTGCTTTTAATTCAAGATTCAACAAAAACAAAACTGCTGACGTCGTCTTGTAATAATYGACTGAAGGACCTTCAGTCTGGTCACCTGAGAGCGTTCAGAACCTGCTGAAGGTCCGGTTGACTCGGGTTTACCTGTCAGGTTGTTTTTCTTTAAAAGCCTTTAACTGTTTGTAATAATCTGCTCACCGGACTCTCCAGWACCGAACCRTCTCCTCTGAGGCTCCTGGATCTTTTTATTGCACCAGAACCATGTTGTGGATCAGACTTTATGGTCCTACAGATCTACAGACTGCAGGGCAGCTGTGTCGCAGCGCTGCAGTGAAGTTAWTGATGCATGTTGACGATGCAGCAGATCTTTAACCCTTGAACGTCTGTTTTAGATCTTTAGTTTTAAATATTTATTTAAATTATTGTGTTTTATCAGTAATATTATGTTAAAGTGTTCCTATAAGAATACTTCAGCTGTTTTTATTTACATGCAGCCTAAAATCAGTACCAGTTTCCACCAGCAGGAGGCAGGATTTAATTCAATCCAACTTTATTTGTAAATAAAATACGGGGGTCCGAAACTTGACATAAATAGAAATCAGAGCATATATAATAAATAAAAACACTTTAAATGNCAGTCACTGAACTACCTCTTCCAGATTCTGCAGTATGGAGGACCGACACTGACATAATTAGAAATAAAAGCAGAAATAGATAAACAAACCTACACACACACACACAATTTAAAATGGCACCAATAAATTAAAAAAGAGAAGTTTAACTCATATTTTATATTTTAATTGACCTACATATTTATTTTTCCAGCTTAGTTCCAAAAAATGTGATATTTTACCGTTTTTAAAAATAGATTTTTTTGTTTTACATTTTACTTGTACATGCATTTGTATCTCTTAAATGATCATATATATATATGTGTGTGTGTGTGTGTGTGTGTGTTTTAATTATTGAAGTCTTTTTATTTACATGTGCTGCTTTTACATTTCTCTGTCTCCTGTTTTTACATTTTTATGCATTTCTGCTTCATTATTTAAATAAGGTGGGTGGAGCTTCTTGTGTCAGCTCCTCTCCTATTGGTCAACAGACAGGAAGGAGCAGGATCCGTGTGCAGATCTACTGTGCTGCTGCCTCAGTTTAGATTAAATATTAAAGTTTAGTTTAAAACAAAGACACAGGTCAGTGTTTTCCTCCTTGTCTTTGTTTTAAACTAAACTTTAATCTAAACTGAGACAACAGCAGCACAGTAGATCTGCACATGGATCCTGTTACTTCCTGTCTGTTGACCAATAGCAGAGGAGCTGACCCAAGAAGCTCCACCCACCTTATGTACATAATGAGGCAGAAATGCATAAGGTAAAGTAAAAACAGAAGACAGAGAAGTGTAAAAAGAACACATGGAAATAAAGGACTTTTGAGAAAAATTATATAAATACTTCAATATAATCATTTAAGAAACATAGCATGTACAAGTAAAAGGAAAACTAAGTATTTATATTTTTAAAAACAAAAAAATGTTAATTATGTTCTAAAGTATAATATTTTTTGGAACTAAGCTGGAAAAGTAAACATGAAGGGAAATTAAATTATAAACCATGAGGTAAAGTTCTCATTTTTTGATTTAATTGTTGCATTTATTTATTTATTGGTCCATTTATAAAGCATATAATTATATCAGATTTGGTCCTCCATTTTAAAACCCTTTAATCAGAATCAACATTAAAACACGGCTCACAAAATACAACATCTATATAAAATCTGATAAAATAATAAAAATCAAAATAAACAATAAAAGCTACAAAACAACAGGTTTTTACAAAGAGAGGAGCAGATAAGATGATGTCTGTCTAAGCTGGAGGGGGAGCTGCTGAAAACAAACAAAGCAAATCCTAAGAAAATAAACAGCTGGATTTAATCTGAGATAATTTGTTTTCAAAATAAAAGCTGTCAGGATTTCCTGTTTCTCCTTCCTGCTGTTTAAAACCAACCTAATCTCTTCTCTTTGTCTTTTTCTTCTCTTTGACCTTCTTTATGTCCATCTCTACATCTAAATACCGACTCCTCTGCGTTTTCTCATCTTTTTCCCATTTTTCTTTCCTTCCTGGACGGACCGTGGCTGATCGTTTGACCTCCTTCCTGTGTGTGTCCCTGTCCTCCTCCTGCGTCGCTTCATGTCCATGTTCTGTTTGTTTCCTGTCCCCGTGTTGGTTTTTCTGTGTCGTGGCGACCGCCAGGCCGTTTGGACAGCCCCTTCTTGAGGCGGCAGCACAATGCCAGCAGCCCCGGTACAGCCACCCCGCCCCGAGGCTCCTCCCCCCTCCGCACCCCGCCTCACAAACGAACACAGCCCGCCGCCGCCGCAGCTGGTAGGTACAGCCCAGGAATCGTACCGAAGACTTAACGAGAAAAGACGGAGCTGGAGCTTGGTTAGAACAGCAACGAGACGAGATGAAACTAAATCTGATTATAAAAACTTCACACACCAACAAAAGAGTTCAAATTTTACTAAACTCAAATATCTCATTTGTTTAAGTCTTTATGTAAGAAACACTAAAACCAGGAAGAATAGTTTAACTGATCCACTTGTTTATATTTTCTGAACAAATTTGGATTTTGAACCAATAAAACCCAGTTTGGATGAAACAGGATCTTTGTCTCACTGCACACTCAAAATGTCAGAAGAAGAGAAAAAGTCCTGCAGCCTCGTTTTTAACGGACAGCTTTTCAAAATCGAGGCTTTCTTGCACGTGCAGTTAAGCCCCAAAAATCTGTGTTTCAGTTTGATAACTCCATCGTTTGTGGATTATTTCATGGAACCGAACTCCCAGTAGTGTGCAATAAACTCTGTAATATCCAGGAAACACAGTAAATACAGTAAACAACTACAGTTTAGTTAGGGATATGAAAATATTAGCCGATATCGATGTACAATAATATTATTGGTGTTACAGGTGATAACTGAAATGTCGATATGCTGCGTTCCATTTACATCGTATGTCTTGAACTGGTAAACGGTAGTGACGTCATTTCCCAACAAACCATCTGAAACTGGTTCCAGTTAGCCGACAGGTGATTGTATTGCTGCCGCTAACCTAGCTACCACACCGCTACATTATAAACACTAGCTGAGTTTCCATTACAAATGTGCGCAAAACTTTGTCGATATTCTGTTAATGTCGAATAAACAGTTTCGCAACTGCAGTGTTTCCATTAAGTAAGAAATGTTATTAAAGTCACGTGAATACGTTTGTCCCCATGATAAGTCATTACAAACATGGCRGCGATGGATGTAAACACATAGCATGTTGCTACCACGACACTAGCGCTCATCATCAGAGGAGACGTCGGCGTCTTTTATCGAGGCTTTCCAGAGACAAGTCCCTACTTGGGAGCGGCTACGTATGCTGTGTTTTTGGGAAATTGTAGTCGGTGAGTTTACTATTTTATACTACTGTGATATTACTACTACTTCTACTTCCTGATATCTTCTTCTTCATCGTCTTTTTCACCAGTAGAAACAGCCGGTTTTTGATCACGTGACTCCTGTGATGTGAAAAAAGTGTTTCCATTGCAGTTTTGCGAAAAAACTAATTTCGATACGGCTGAAAAAAACCACCTCATCCTAGAGCAAAAACATTTTGTCGAAAAACATAATTTTTTTCGAAATTGACGTGTTTCCATTGAGCAAATTTATTTTCGAAATTCTAATTTGCGCATTTTCATGTTCAATGGAAACACAGCTACTGACAAAAAGAGAGCTCTACTATGTAAGTAATGCAAATAAACATTGATTTTAATAAGTACAGTATTGCACAGAAAACACACTACTTGTGCAGTGATTAAACAAGCACAAAAATATTAAAGATAATTAACAGTAAAAGTTACCGAGTTAACTTTTTAAATAGTACATGGTAAATAGTACACAGTAAATATTACACAGTAAATAGTACACAACAGAAGAACTTGTCATTATTTTAGCATCATTTCCATAAATGACAGAATAATGGGCTCAACCCTCAAACCCACAGATGTGAACGTAAACATCTGTAACCTGAACCCCCTCAGAGTTGTAAACTTCACAGCTGTTTGTTTGTCGCTGTGTTTTAGATGTCGTCCAGTCTGATGTAATATTTTGTTTCATGATTTATTGTCTGACTTGGCAGCAAACTGACTTCCTGAGGATGAATAGTAACTTTTAACATTTGATTTTTTCCACCTTTTTTTTTTGTTGATTTATATTTTTATTTCATGCCTCTGATCACGGACTCCACCGCCGCCCCGCCCTGCCCCGCCCCGCCTCGCACACAAACACTTGATAACAAACTCCTGCCGACACCTTTAACCCACCGCCTGTGAGTGTTTGTGTAAAACGTGACGAGTCGTTCGTGAGTCACCGTCCACTGAAAGTGGATCTTTGCCTTCAGTTTCAGTGGAACTTCATCTAGTTGTGGTTGCTGGGTTTCAAACCGTGATGGTGATTTTATACATTTGAATAAGATTTGTGTTGACCACTTTCCAGAGAGCAACAGGTCTCATCGAGCAGTATTTTGTAAAGTTCAATAATTTCTATCAGATCTCTAAAAGCTGTTTTTTTAAAACCCAAACACACAGAAGTAATGAATCATTTCATTTTGTTAAACTGATAAATGTCTTTGGAACGTGGCCGACTCTGACAGATAAAAAGTAAAATGGCAGAAAATTTGCTGGGTGAAAAAAAATAACCTCAAAAATAAAAAATAAAAAACTGAGAAAAAAAATCTAAAATTTTAAAATTAAAGTTGAAATGTTAAGAAAAAAAGAAGAATAGTACTTAAGACCTAAGGCAGAGAACCTTATTGTGGATTGTGTTACTGTATATCTGAAGGACAAGGCTGCACTTTACAGGATAAACTACTTTTACACTTTTACTTTTATGTTTGTGTTCAAACTTCATCGATTTCATAATCAGAACTTTTTCATTAATTTCAGCTGAATCTTTTCTGCCTTTTTACTGTGATTCTTCTTTATCTGTGGCTTTGTGTGACCATGAGAAAACAACACTTTGAGCAGGACGTCTGTCTTTAAACACAAAGAGGAAAGCTGAGTTTTTACTGTGGAAACGATGGAATGACTCTGTGCTTGTGTGTGGTTATAGCTGTGATTCAGAAACCATTAGAACTGTTTTAAAACTTGCTGAGTCATGTTTGCGTTTTCCTTCTGATGACAATTTCCTGAAAAATTCACTTTGTACCAGAACCACAAAGTCCCTTTAATGTCCAGCTGGATTCTGCGTAGATTTGATGGAACACTCATTAATGGCCGCCATCCTTCCTGCTTGTTTTTATTTATTTCATTTATTTCCTGCAGGGGACGACGACGACGACGATGATGATGCTGATGAAGCGAGCACAGAGTGCAACATGGCTGCCGTCTCACCCATTCCTAAAATAGTCACCACACCAATCAAAGAGGACCTGAGTCGGGAGGACGAGGACTGCAGAGACGAATGGGGTATGAGGGGAACCTGCTGACTCATCCTCACACTGTGCCAGTGTTTGTTCATTTTGTGTCATGGTTCAGCTCAAACACTTCTTTAGTTGCAGATGACAAATGTGTCCTTTTCSTCTGATTTGGTGGATGAAGCRAGAGAAAGAAGTACAGAGTTWAAAAAAAATCAGGCTCTATKAAAAGTCTGAAGCAGTTGTGTTGTTAGGGTTTTATTTGCATCGACATGTTTTTATTATTATTATTATTCTAACATTCAAACGAGCTCAGATA